CGCATGCTCTTAGGGTGGAGGTGGAGGCCGTGCAAGGGGATGACCGACTGAGACGCCACTGCGTGGCGCCGCGGCGCGTCCAGCAGACGGATAGGGGCTAGGCAGCCTCCCGTGCATTGCGCAGCGAGTCAGCTGTATGTCGGGCGCCGCCTTTCGCGGTGCGGCCCCATGCCGGCCTTCTGTGACGGCAATCCAGCCGCAGGGTTCATGGCTCCCGCCCGTTGCAGCGCCACCACTGCAGCGGCCTGACGCCTGAACCCTGGGCTGCTTCTGATATTGCCAAACGTGTGCGTGCCTAGGTGGTGCATTTGGAGCCCGTGCTCGGCGACGATGGCCGGGTCCTCTACACCCGCGCGACCCTGGCCTGCGGCGCCGTTTTGGAGGCGCGCCGTGTCGTGCTCGGCATTGGCAGCACGAACCTGCAGCGGCTGCCGCCATTTGCCGCGGACGCGAGGTTTTCGGCGCCCGCGGGCCGCGTGGCGCACGCGTGGGAGCTGGCGGAGGCAGCTGGCGGGCAGCTGCTTGGGGCCGCGGGCGGAAGCGGGGCCAGCGGCTCCCCGCAGCAGTGGAGCAGCGGGAGGGGTGGCAGCAATTCTGATGGCAGCTTTGAGGTCGGTGGTGCTTTTGGCACTCCAGGGACCACCAGCAGCGGGGAGGAGAGTGATGGTGAGTCATCAGACGGCATCCACCGCAGCAGCAGCAGCGACAGCGGCAGCAGCAGCGGCGGCGGCAGCAGCAGCGGCGACGGCGCCAGCAGCAGCGACGGTGACATCTGGAGCCGCGCCGCGCCCCGACGGGGCGGCCTGGATTGCAAAGCTGCGTGTGCGGCAGCTCCACGGCCGGCCCCATCGGCAGCGGCTGCGCTCGCCGCGGCGGGCATGGTGGCGCCAGGGGAGCATGTCGTCGTTGTGGGAGGTGTGCGGGGCTGGATATGTGGTTCGATCTCACAGCCTTATCAGCACGAAACGATTTTCTTGTTCCACCACAATTCACCTGCCGCACGATTGCTGCCGTGTCTTTGTGCTGATGTCCTTTCTTGGTGCTGCAAACACGTGTACTGGCTGCTCATGTGTCAAGACACACACGGGCGCTTGCCGCTCAACTTTAACTTGCACGTTTCACGTGTTAGCACACGCGGCCGTTCTTGCTGCCTCCCACGTCTCACTGATGTGGCGACCTCGCCTCGCCCCGCCCTCTGCCCCCCCCCAGGCGGCCTGACGTCAGCACACCTGGCCGGCCTTGCGGCGGCCGGCGGCGCGTCGCGCGTCACGCTCCTGCTCAGGGGGCCGCTGCGCATCAAACAGGCGAGCGCGGGCGCCGCCCGGTGTCGCCGCGGGTTTTGCCCTGCCCGCCTGTGCATGGACGCTTGCACGTTTGCGCAGTGCTGTGTGTGGCAGGGACTGGAGGGTTGGCCAATCTGCATTGAACCTCCTCGCAGTGAGACTGCTCTTTGCAAGCTCAGCACACTGTGCGCCGTCCTTCAGCAGAGGCACCACCCTCCAGCAAACAGAGCTGCCGAGCGCTTTGGGGTGCTGTCACCTCAGCCGCCCTCTGCTGCCGGCCGCCGCTCAACTGACCAAGCGCCTACCAACCAAATCCCATCCCATTGCCTAACAATAGCGAATCCACGTTTGCTCTCGCCCAACGCACAGTTTGATGTCGATATTGAGTTCATGGGCCGCCTCAGGGGCGAGGCGCTCGCCGATTACCGGCGGCGCCGCGGCGGCGAGGCGCGGCTCGCGGCGCTCAAGAGGGCCCTGCAGGTGCGGGCGCTCTCACGCGCGTGCCGTCACCCTTTACAAGCCCGCACGCGCAGCTTAGGCCAGAGGCACGCTTGTAAACTACTTAGAGTCGCCTGCCTGCAGCACCAAATGTCGCATCTGCGGCTTGGAGCCTGTGTCTGCGAGCCAATAGGTGTACATCGCACTCAGTCTGATCTGTCTGTGTTTTTTTGTTGCTCCTTGCCCTCACCATTCCCTGCAACGCCTCGCCCTAAACCCAGGGCGGCAGTATCACGCCCGAGGCGTGGGCGGCGCTGGAGCCGCTGCGGCGCGCGGGCGTGCTGGCTGTGCACGAGCACGTTTCGGTTGCGGGGGCGGAGTGGGACGCGGAGACCGGCTGCGTTGCCGTTTGGTCTGAGGTGCGGGGGCGAGCGAGGGCGGCATGCACCTGCTGTGGTTGCTGGCCACCTGGCCTGGCACGCCAGCTGATTGCTGGGATGCAACCATACACCACCAAAGCATCCAGCGCGGAGGAAGCCAGGGCGGCACCGACGTTGATTGCTTGGCCGCAACAACGAGCACCTCTCCTCCCCCCCCCCAACACACACGCATGCCCACCGCATCACCGAAACATTAAAAACACTTGCATGGGGATGCAAACGCAAGTGCGTTCAACACAGCTCTGTGCGCACATACTGAGCTATGCATTGACATAATCCTTCCGTTCCATGCCAAAATACACCTCGCAAGGACGGGGCCCTGGAGCTGGCCGCCGACCGCCTGTGGCTGGCCACC